GTGGGGTTAGAGAATGCAATCGCAAGTGCTTTCCCCAAGTGCTTGGGCAAAAGAGACACAGCCCTGTGGCGTTAGTGATCGCTTCCTTCCTCTCTCCTTCACTCTCTGCACCTTCAATTCTGTGCATGTGCAGGCATTCCTTTCCAGCTTCCTCACCACAGTGCGGTTTTAGGCTTCCTTTCTCCCTGCTTTGTATTTGGAAGGAAAAGGACATCTGCAGGATGGGCTGAATCCTGTGTCCACTCCTTCCTCCTCAGACCTCTTGGGTGTCCCCTCACCCCCTAGTGGTGGGAACACACATCACAGCCTGCTGGCCTCTGGTTCCCCCACTAACCACTCACTCTTCAGGTGATTCTCCTCCCCATTCTGGGCTGTGTAAACGGTAGGAGTTAGAGGAGGCTATGGGAACAATGAAAATGAAAGGACCACAGTGGTAGGATGCTGTGGGGGCAGTGACACCACATTGAATTTAATCCTTAGAAAGAGGATCAAGTCCACCACCACATGGGGGAACAATCAACAGCCTGCCATGAAAAAGAGTTAGAAATAACTGGGTTCTAGTCCTGACTTCGTGATTATCTTTCTGTGCAACCTTGAACAACATTTTTTTTTTTTTTTGCCAGCCCTGGGCTTGAACTCTGGGCCTGGGTGCTGTCCCTCAGCTCTTCAGCTCAAGGCTAGCACTCTACCACTTGAGCCACAGAGCCACTTCCAGCTTTTTCTGTTTCTGTGGTACTGAGGAATCAAACCCAGACCTTTATGAATGCTAGGCAAGTACTCTACCACTAAGTCAACCCAAAACTTGAACAACTTTTGCCCCTGGTACTTTAGTTTCTTCATCAGCAACATGGAGAAAGGCAGCAGTATCTGTCTGTCCATAAGCAAGAGGGCCCTATTTCTGGGAACTTGTGATATAGTATGGGTATAAAGCACTGTTGAAACCTAAAGAGCTCAATGTATGCAAAATTATTTGTCATAGTTTGTGACTCCTGAGAAATAGATTCTGACATACAAGAGTGTTCAGGGTGTTTTATAGTGTTCAGGGTAATATAGGTATGAAGGCCTCAGCCGGCCTCACTGGGAGTTCAGTTCTGCACTGGACTAAAATGGTTGGGTCACCATATCCCTTTGTTAGTGGGTGAGAGTTGCTGCTGGCAGGCAAGACTGTGGGCAAAGTGGCTCTCTGTAGCTGAGGCTCTGCTGGATGTGCTGGCAGCCTTGTCATAAGCTGAAGCAATAAGCCTTTCCTTTAAGGAGATCTGGGTTACTGCTTCCCCATGTCCACATCTTCACTGTGATCTGTTACATGTACACTATATGGCTGTGCACATCGAAGGCTAGAATAAATTAATGGAGAGCCTGTCATTCCTGTGCTGTTTGTCAGCTCTTCTCTAGATGAATGACTTCTGCCTTCATTTCTGAGAAAAGACTGGGAAATCCCTCTTTCACTTTCTGTAAGAACTAGAAATCTATTTCATTTGGCTTTGTCTGAGAACCCATAGGTAGGACAAAAGAGCCAATAAATTCAACCAAATGAATTTAATTGTAAAAAGCTCCATGTGTATGCATGTCGGCATGCATGTGTATTTACACTTGAGTATGGGCACATGTGGGTGCATTTATATGTGGGAATGTTTATGACATGACAATGAAGACAAGACAAAGGCTATGGGGCAGGTGTCAACTGTAGACGAGCACACCAACAGGTGGATGCAATGATGAGAATGTCCCACACAGGTGCACATCTCATTCATTCACTCCTCTAACATTTACTAAGGGCCTACAATGTTCTGGGAGCTGGAGAATAAGAATGAAGATGTGGTTACTGCCTCTGGAAGCCTCTTGCAAGAGGCAGAGAATGAAGTATAAGTATCAGGATACAGAAAGGGAAGAGAACTGCTGTGGTTTGGATATGAAGGAGCAGAATACAGCCATGGAGAGTTGACCGGGTTATTAGTGCTCTGGATTCACCAATGGATTAATCAATTGATGGGTCGGAGATGAAAACAAAGAGGTGGGATTTGGTTTGAAGAAGTAGGTAACTGGAAGTGTGCCTTGAGATTTTATCTTGTTCCTGAAACCTTCTTATTTGTTTCTCTCTCCCGCCCCCCCTCACTTTCTCTATCTGTTTCCTGGCCACCATAAGGTTCACGCTCTACCTCACCCCAGTCTCAAAAACAATGGAGGTAGTCAGCCATGGACTAAATCTCTGAGACTCTAAGTCCAGATACATCTTTACTCCTTTATCTTTCTCATATATTTACTATAGTAATATAAAACTGACGAACACAAGAATGGGCAGAGTTCCATTTGGGAGCCCCTGGGTGGGTAGGTAAAGCAGATTGGAGAAGCTGAATCATGAAGGGTGAAGGAGTCACTCAGGCAAAGATGATGGAGAGGTATGAGCAGAATTTTCACAAGGAGAAACCAGTGACTGGCAAGGAGATCAGATCACTAAAAGTGGAGGGAGGGTCAGAGGATAGAGACAACTGCCAAAGCCATACAGTTCAGTGGCTAGTGTGGACTGTCTTACCGAGAGTGTATAGCACAGTAGTCTTATTCCCCCAAGAGGCAAATTCTGGCAGCAATGTGGGGGTGGATGGAGGCTGACTGACTTCAGGGCTCTGGTGGGTTCCTGTGGATGACGTTTTGAGGATGTACACACTGTCTGGGTGTCTGTAATCCAGAGTTGGTATACCAGGTGTGCTACCCACATTGCATTGTTTTCCTCTTCCACCCTCCGGCCTTGGCAGTCCAGGTGGCTCAGGGGAGAGTTTCCTGCCACTGACTCATGGGTGGGTGGTAGGATGGGGGAGATGGTCAGGATCAGCTGACAGGTGCTTCCTCCAAGGCCACAGACAGACCCCTGCTGGCTGGGCTGTGAACCACATGACTGGAAGTCAGTGAGAAAATGCCTCCCTGACACCCCACCCTCCGCCAGTCTTCTTGGGCCCCTCCCCACCCCCCCACCAACTGTCCTGTGCTGTGCCTGGCTTGCTATAAAGTTGTATTCAAGGCCTATCAGAGGCCAAGCTTCAGGGTAAGAGGAGGAAGAATGGAGAGGCTGTGAAGCTAGTGTACGATTAGGATTCAGATTTCCCTTTTTGGTTTTTTCCCTCACTGGGCACCCAACCTTCAGACAATGAAGTCACATATTTCAATGCAGTCACCAAAAGTTGTGTTAGAACTGTTTATCCCACTGCTTGCAAATACAAGACAAATACAAAAAAAGTGTATTTCTGATATTCCCTAATGTGGACCGTCAGGAAAGGAAGAGATACTTGGGTACCATGAGGTACTATGAGTACTTGTAAACTTAGAGCTTAGTCTCAACAGTACACAGCACATTTATGGGCTTTGTATGTTCCTCAGTCCCCCTGTTTCAGATACAGATGCTAATATCTTAGAAGAACTAAATGTGTAAAGTGCCTACCACAGTGCCTGATGTATCATAAATAGTCAGTGATAAACCTTAACTCATTTCACGGGCTTGAGTTCTCTCAGCCATAACCTTCACTCACTTAATGAAGAGCTGTGACCTTTTGGGGCCTCTAGAGGAATCATTTGGAGAAAGAGTTCTTGGCCAATCTTTCACTCTCAGGGACCAAGTTCTTTTCCCACCAACTCGTTCTTTTTCTGTGATTGGGCCACTGGATTTAATAAGACTTTGCTTGCCATTACTTACTAAGTAATACCCCATGTGGATGCATCAAGGTTCCTCTTCAGCCTTACAATACATGAGGAATAACTTCTAGTGCTCCTTATTGAGAACTCATGGACCAAGTGAGATGCTGCCAGTGAGGCTTTCCTCCTCTCCAGCCTCAGACACTGTCCCCTCCACAGCAACAGGCGTGCCTCAATTTCTGGGCTCTAGAATAGGTGACTAAGTTGAATCTGAACTAGCAGATGCTTCATATTGGCTTTTCCCCCCTTTCTTGTGCCAGGACCGGGGCTTGAACTCAGAGTCTTATGCTCTTGCTTAGAGTTTTGATTCAAGGCTGACACTGTACCACTTTAGCCACAGTTCTGCTTCTGATTTTTGGTTGTTAATTGGAAAAAGAGTCTCATGGATCAATCTACCCGGACTGGCTTTGGTCCATGATCCTCAGATCTCAGCCTCCTGAGTAGCTTGGATTACAGGTGTGAGTCACGGGCACCTGGCTCACATTGGCTTTTTTTTTTTTTTTTTGGCTGGCCGTGGGGCCTGAACTCTGGGCCTGGGCACTGTCCCTCAGCTCTTCAGCTCAAGGCTAATGCTCTACCATTTGAGCCACAGTACCACTTCCGGCTTTTTCTGTTTATGTGGTGCTAAGGAATTGAACCCAGGGCCTTATGCATGCAAGGCAAGCGCTCTACCACTGAGCCACCTTCCCAGCCCTCACATTGGCTTTTAAAGTACTTCATGCTCCTGGTGCCCATGTCTCTCAGGTTTATCATTCTCAGCTGTGCTCGTTCTGGCCAAGTGCAGGGAAGGACTTGCCCAGCTCTTCATAGGGACACAACTTTGTGTTCAGAATATCCATGAGTACATTACAGAAAATAATGTTTTAAAATAATGATGGATGTTTCTATCTGATGGGTCCTGACTGGGAGTACTTCCTTCCTATATATCTGTTCTTTAAATTTCTACAATATTCTTCCAAAGCAATGATCATCATTTCCATAGGACTCATGACAAAAGTATGGTCAGGGAAGTGATTTTTCAAGTTCAAGTAGTTAGTAAAAGACATCACTGTAAGATTTAATATCTATCTATCCATCCACACACACACATATATGAGTATCTATCTAATTCCTACCCTTCTCTAAAGTAGCAATGTTTTCCATTTCATAAACAAGCAAATTAAAGATCAGCAAAGTGAAGTGACTTATCTGACATCACAGAACTAAAAGTTAGCCAAGTGGAAGTTGAATCCCAGCTATGAGATGATACCTGTCTTTTCCCTTGGCATCCGGGTGAGTCCTGGGAAATAGTGTTTGTCAGGTGAGTGGAAACATACCTTGGATATCATCATTGAACATGCAGTACTTGTTGCGGTATTTGTGGAGCAGACGGAAAGCATTGTCATTGGCAAAGTCTTCAAATTGCACGAGGCAACTTATTCCAAACCTGTGGGAGGGAGGGGCAGGGAAGAAGACACGATTGCAGATCTCCGGCAGATGGCAACCTGCACTAGAGAGGGAGGAGGCTCAGGCCCCAGGGTGGCGACATTATGGCTCCTTTCTTGGGTTTTTGCCACTTGGCTGGATTAGGAACTCCTGGCAGTTGAAGTCTGTTTACCCCAATGAACAGGGATTGGAAAGGGAGAGGGGAGAGGCCCTAGGCTTCACACTTATCCAAGCCAACATCAATGTGTCTAATATGGACTGGTGGCAACCCTATTATCTCATGGCAGACCCTGGCATGCAGAAGGACTGAGATGGGGTCTGCCTTCTCTACAGCCTGTGGTCATCTGAGATCACAGAAGGAATCTCACTCACACCCACATGTGTACAAAGAGCCAGGGTTCCCCAAGCACAGATGGCCAGGGGCCTCCAATTATCTTCCTTGATAGACCTTGAGGCTTGTTGTTCCTCTACTGGAGACTCTAAATCGAGGTGCTATTCCCTAGTAAAGAAGGCTGGAAAAAAAAGTCACCATACAGCTCCACTGTCTTCTGCTAACACCTTGGTGAAGACGACTTTCAGCTTACAGGACTAAAAGAATCTATTTGTGAGCTTATTTAAAATCCAGGCTTCCTCATAGTTGGCCTCACTCGGAGAATGTGAGATAAGGCCCAGGAATTGCCCTTTTTAAACAAGCACAATAGATGATTCTGAATGGGAAGTCTAGAAAACTTTGAAAAATCACTGCCTTGGCGAATACAGACAATGCATAGTAAGCTGCTTGAGATTTGTTTGGTAATCTACATTAGTTTGCCTCCAGGTCTTCCCAAAATGACATTATTCATTTGAATTTCATAACTTAATTTTTCTTTCTTTTAATTTTTGTGCCAGTATTGGGGCTTGTAGTCAGGCTTACACTTTCATTGTTTTTTTTCACTCAAGGCTGGCATTCTACAACTTGAGCTACATCTCTACTTTCTTAATTTTTCTTCTAAAGTTTGTGGTCTGCCTAAACTGAGAGAAATATCTTGCTCATTTGCAGTAAGACTCCTGAACCTGAGATCTCTGAACAAGACTCTTCACTGTTGCTATCTGATTCTTGTATTTGCTAAGCAGGTATTCTACCACTTGAGCCACGCCACCAGCCCTGATTCTCCATTCTGAGTCTGTCTGTAAATGAGTATGGGATGAAGTAATCAAAATTACTTAATGCATGGATAAAAATAGTTTACATCTTACGAATTCATTTGTGATGAATAACAGTCTGGGAGGCCATGTTCACTGAGAAAAATACCTTGAGTGATCCACAGTTGATACAGGAGTGCGGAGGAATGTAATAGAAACAAGTGCTCTGCATTCCCAACCTTGTGTGGATCACCATTTGGGACCCACTTGGGACCAGCTATGAAAAGGTTTGTTGTTTTGCTAGAGAGCACTGGTGCCTTCTGTACCCTCAAAGCATCTCTCTGATGAGACCAGTCACTACTAGGAGTGGGCAACACTGAGATGATCCAGAAAACACCCTCCCAACCTCATCATTTCACATGTGTTCCTGCTCAGCATCAGTGCCAGCAAATGGGCAAAGCTGTGCTGCTGTCTTCGTCTTCTAAGAGTATTGGTTATTCAGAGTTGCTGATAGAAACACAAAGACATGGGGTCACTTTGCAGGGCAGAGCTACAGAGCCAGTGACTAATTGTGCTTGGGCTGGCTGATTTATGGAACTGGCCTAGCTGTCCACAGTTTTATGTGGCCTTGTACATGTCACTTTATGTTCTATTCTGCTTCAGTTTCCCACTTGTTAATGTGCATAATGGTAACTACCTGGCCAACATTTGTGGGCTGCTATGGGGATTAAAACTGAAGGTGTTTTTTTTTTTCATCTCAACTGAAGTTTAATTGATCAATTAAAATTGTATCTATTAACTTATACATGATGACTTCATATTTGGAAATATAATAAAATGATTACCATACTTAAGCTAATTAATATATCCATTCTGCACATGGTTATCTTTTTATGGATTTTCAAGTATACAATATTGTACTATTAGCTATAATTTTCAGGTGCATTTTTGACTATAATATACTAAACACTGTTCTGGGGGTTGGGGGGCTGTAGTTCTTATTTATAATAATAAAGTACTGACAGGAGGGCACTTGCTATGCTATCTTGCTCCTTCTCTCCTGTATAAGTTTCTTTTTTGTGGTCTGATTGTTATGAGACAGAGTTTCACTATATAGTCCAAACTGCTCTTGAATCTGCATCCCTCTTACCTCAGCCTCTCCAGCTGGATTACTGGTGTGTACCACGCCTGGTTTGTACCCGAGTGTGTGAAAGGGAGAGTCATAAATGGTTTAAGTCAGCAGTAATAGCTGAAATCCCACTTCCTAGTTCTGAGAGAGAACACAGCTCTTCTAGGCTTTTAGGGAAGTAGTGGCCTCTCCCTTCAAGGTCAAGTTTCAACCCTGGCCATGAAAACAGGGAGCCCTTATAGCAAGGAGAATGTAAAGTTTAGTGATCAGAGATCTAATTCTGAGAAGATAGTAGAGCTCTCTAGAAAAGAGACCAGTTTTCTAGATGACTCTTTTCTAGATAACTCTAGAACACCGTTCAGAAGGAAAGTGAGGTGTAAGGAATTGCTTTGGACAATGGGAAGCACACAACTTCAGCCTTGAATTCCTGTGTGCTCCGGGAAGATTCATGACTGCTGTCTACCTCAGAAAGACAGCATAAAAACAAAGGAGGGAGTAACAATGCTAGATAGGAAATGTACTCATTACCTAACTGTAAACCCCATCTGTACAGTGTCTTTACAATAAAATATATATTAAAAAAGACAACATAAAGGGGGCTATGATATATTCCCCTTTAAGGTCACCTGAGTATCAGTCAGTACAATCACCCCCTCCATCTCTCTATCTCAGAATAACTACATACCAATTGCCATACATTTCAAGTTCTTAAAAAGTTTTTGTAGTTTCTCTCAATAATGCATTTAACACTTTAACAATCCTTTAGCAATCAGTACAGTGTTTGGTACATAATAGGTTCTCAATAATTTTGCCAGTATCTTCACGTGCTATAGCCATGGATTCAACCAATCCAAAGTCAAAACTATTTTAAAGAATACTGTTAGTACTGAATATGCGCTGATATTTTGTCTTGTCATTATTACTTAAGCAATGCAGTATAACAATAGTCGATAAGGTATTTAGATAGTATAAGCTATTATAAAAAATATAGAGATCATATAAAGTAAACAGGAGCTTGTTCATTGGTTGAATGCAAATATTTAATAAGGGATTTGAGCCTGCATAGCTTTGGTATCCAGAAAAGTTCTGGAACCAATCTCCCTTGGATACTGAAGGACAATTTTACCATGAATAGAAATAAGTAAAACCTTCCATCCATAAATATAATGCAGTGCATGCCAAGTCAAAATTTACAGCCATTTTTTGTTCTGAGTATGAATTTCAAGTATTTGAACTGGGAGTGGGGAACAGTATTTCTTTAGATGCTGGAGAGATTTTTACTATTTACAGGACTTCCAGCATTACTCTGCAGCTAGCCTGGGGCTAAAAGCTAAAAAGGTCAGACAACAAAACAAGCCATAACAAGCCATGCCTGTTTTCTCTCTCTCTGTCTCTCTCTCTCTCTCCCCTCTCTCCTCCTCCCACTTCTCACAAAGACCTCTAAGGAGCACTAACCATCATCTGGTGATATAAAAATAAAGCAAGAATTATAAATATTTTTGGTTGGCATATGATTACTATTTCATATGTAATTCAGTTCTATATAAGAAAACTCCCTGGTTCTCTTAGAAAAATGGATGGAATATTGAGTATACCTCACTTCAGTTCATTTTATACACTCGGAATTGTACAAAAGGCTCTGTTGACCCCTTCATCTAATGTCCTGGACCAAGACTTCCTAGAACTCCAGAACTGCCAGATTGGGCTTTCCATCATCTGGTACCACTCCTACTTTAGGATTTCATACTGGCCTCATTTTAGTCTCTGACTATATCTTCTCCTTCTCCTTCCCTTGCTTTCACTGAATTTGTCAAGATCTCTGGGACCTTCACCATATTATTCCAGTTCTTCATCCTTTCCCTTATGGCTTTTCATGAAATCAGTCTGCACCAGGAGTAAGTACCCTAGTAACTGACTTAGCACCATTCATCCATTCATCATTCCTTCATCAGTCTTCTCTCCATCAATCTCCCCATCGAGCTCTCCATCCATCTCTCCATGCACGTGCATACATGCATTCTTCCACCCACCATTCACCCATCTATCCATATCTCATGAAATCCTGTGGTGAGCCGATACAGTTCAATGGTGGTTTAAGGAAGGATAGATATATGGCAAATTAGTGTTGTGAATTTGCCAGACAACTTGTTAATGTAATTAAAAGCTAGTAAATAAAACAAAATTTCAAAATAAAAATGGAAAGTGAAATGGCTCAGGTGGAAAAACTTTTCTCAATCTGTCTGTGTGCATCCAAATGCACACCATAACACAAATTCAAATGGTACACACATGAAAATGCTAACAATAGTTAATCTTTGCTGAGTATTTATTACCTATAGGACATCACACTTTATATATACTCTTTAATATTCACATTAATTTATGAAGTGAGTACTATTTTAAAAAAATTATTTTTACAGCATTTTCACAATAAAATTTTTTATTATCATTATCTTTTAAGATGTTTTATAAAGGGGTTTTCAATTCAATATGCCAGTCTTTGAATGCAATGCATCTTGATCAATGTCATCCCTTTTCTCATTCTCCCCAATCTTTTAAATACCACCCATCTCCACAATTTACCTAGTTTCATTACAAATGGTTATATGCCACAAAATAAGTGTCAGTGTCTTCATGGTATATGTTGTCAGGTCTAAAAGCCTCTTCCATACTTGTCATGGAGAGTGCTAGCCTTCTCTCCTTTCATACAACACTGAAATTAGTAATACTTGCAGAGAAGGAATCCTGAA